AAAAAAAAAAAAAGTACAAAACGACTACTAGAATCTGAAAATGAGGTAGCCAAGTTGGTCCATCCAAACAAGAGTACGAAGGCGGAGAGGGGCGTCGTCAGGGTGGAAAGTGCACCTCTAGAGAGTGGAGGCACCGAGGTTAGCCACGAAGTCAGCGGGCCAGTTCACCTCACGAAAGATGTGTTATATCAGGTATAGAACTGACTGAAATGTGGATCTTATGCACATGAGCAGGTGTTGAATCTGACATGAGCCCCGGTGGCCTGAGGTCAGAAGGGTGGCGACAGCGGTAACCTCCAGCTCAATCCAAATATGAGTAGAGATAGAGGCTGCAATATGAAGACCAATCTGGAGTGCATGAACCTTTGCATTGTAGCTCAAGAAGATCTGAAAAGGGGCGTCGAATGTGGTAATGGGAGCTCTGTTGTGATCCCTAACTAGGCCCCCGCCTCCGGCGAATCCTGTGAGTCAGTCAAAAAATCCACCGGTGTATAGCTTAAACCAACGGGAGTCGAGTCTCAGCCGAACAATGATTCTGAGGTGTAGGTGCTAGACAAGCGGCAGCATAGACGTCACTAAATAGGTGGGGAGAGGAGGGTGCAGCGTGCAACCTATCAAGTCTCTAGGCGCGAGTCTGCCCAGAGTTGTGAGGACGGAGAGATATCGATCAACCTACAAAACAATATGAGAGCACATAAAGGTAATATCCCTATGCATCGTACTATCCTCCTTGTCCAAATAAACCACAAAATTAGACAAAAAAAATGAGAAAGTCCACGTATCTAAAGTATGTGCCTTGAGAAAAAGAACTCAGGAGCACAAAAAAATTGTCTGTAGTGTGTATGAGTATATGTGGAAAAAATGCCCTCACACTCTCCTTGCAACCTCACTCTCTAAAAACAAATGGGAAAAAGTCTTAGTATGGAAATCCCCAATCTCTGCGCAGTAGTAACACTGCAAAGGGAAGAAAACCCCCATCGCCTGCAACAAAGATTCGATTGGGATACGGTGCAGAAGAATGTGCCAAAGGAAGACATAGATGGTTGGAGTAAGCAGGTCAATCCAAATGGCCCCGAAGAGTAGACTAACCGTACTTCCCCCAAGCCGAGGTCATAGAAAATACACCCGAAGAATTAAGTCTCCAACTCATTTATATCAAACTCCAAAATTTATTCGAGATGTGTAGTTGTCCTGTTGGTTGATTGCTTTAGGTGTTGGCTCGAGTGGTGACAGTTTGAGGTGTTGTTCAGCTTGTAGGGAGGGCTTTATTCTAGTTACTATGTTCATTTTCTGTAATTTGTGTGTGCGTTTGTGTGTGTTTTATTTCTTTATTCTCCTGTTGGAAATTTATATTCTCCACACGTGAGAGTTTTTTGTATCCTCTTGTTATAAGTTTGTGTGTTTTGTTTGTTAGTTGGTTCTAGGCTACCACTATCACTATGTAGTCCTCCAAACTAGATTCATATGATTAACTGATTTATTTGGTTGGTTGGCTGTTGTTAAGTTCGTAATTTGTATTGTTGTTGTCTAGTTCGTAATTTTTGTTGTTATTTATAAAATCTTTTGTTCTGACAAAAAAAAAAAAAAGCACAATTCGTTACCAGACAGTGAAACATTAGACAATCACCCATCATATTTTTAAAATCAAATACATACTTATCCTACGAAATGTTGCTCTTTGTTTATGTTGTCTTTAAGATAATATGTTTGAATATATCTACTAGAAAATACGATTGTCTAACAGTTCTTAGCAACTACCTTAGTGTTATATAAGACATTTATTGAATATAAAAAAAATTAGATAAAATAATACCGAAACTGGCCTACCAAATTACATTTAGCAAGTATAAAAGTGAATATAAAATCACATTACTTATGACATATTTGAAAAATCAATTGGAGACTTTAATTTTTTTTTCAATTCACTCAGTTAAATAGGATACTCTGAACTAGGGATTTTCAATCGGTGTCGAGACCGCACCGAATCGACTGAAAGTTCAACTAATCAAAATTTTTGTTTGTCCAACATGAAAATCAAAAAATGAACTAAAATTTGTGGTTCAGTTCTGTGTCAAACCAAAAATCAGTCACTGGATCAGTTTGGTTAACGGTTAGTCGGTAGAATAGAGAAAAAAAAATGAAAAGACTGCAAGTCGTGAATTACAAAAGTAACAATAGCTAGCTAATTAATATTTTCACCAAACAAAACATAAAGTCATGAAAAAAAATAACTTGTCCAAAAAAAATACAGTTATATTAAGTCTCATATGTATACACACATGATTAAATAATTGAGAGTGTTGTGGGAGATGAGCAAATGTTAGGCATTACCGCATTGGCTTTAAACTATGCTATCATATTGTCTATTTTAGTTTGGTTATTTGTATAGGAAAAAAAAATAGGCTTAGAGTAGCTAGTAGACTTTGTATTTGAGAAATTTGCTCGCACTATTGTCTAAATGAAACTTTATATTAGAATACTATAGTAAGATCTTATTTATAAAAGTACGAAGATGAAATAAACATTCGTCTTCATCATCTTCACTTTCTTGTCATCACCGACACCAAAGGATGCCACATCACCGCTCAGATCCTTATCCCCGTCCCCACTGTCCTTAGCCTCCCCATTGTCATTCTCGTCTTCCTATTCCGATCACTCATAATCCTTGATTTTTTGCTGCTTTTTCAGCTCCACGACGTCCCGCAATAAATCATTCGTCTGGCCCTCGGTCGTGTCAATGTCGTCAACCTTGAAAAGTCAGCCCTAAGGATGAACTTGAGGCATTATAACCTCACCTGGTCATTCTCACCAAGAGGGTCACCAGTTGTTTAAGGAATCAGAGACGACGAACGACTTTCAGACGAGGGGAGGTAGGTTGTCGATGTTCTACTCAGTAGAGGGTGCGGGCTTGGATTTGGAGATACCCTGGTTGATGTTATTGATAGTATAACCCTCGGTCATGTTGCTGTCGTCAACCTTGATAAGGCCGGCTTGGTGGACGAACTTGAGGTGGTACGACTCGCCTGGTATCGAAGAGGATCACTGACCGTTTCAGTAATCAGAGACACGAACGACTTCCGACCTGGGAAGGTTGAGGTTGTCAATGTTGTGCTCCTTGGCGACGAATTTGGAGGAGGGTTCGAGCTTGAATTTGGTGATGTTAGCGTTGATGTTTATTGATGGTTTATTAATAGTTTATGTTTGTATTTATTAACATAATTTTTTCTTCCATATTATGAGTTTTAATAATATACTCTATAACAAATTACAATTAAACAAAACATAAATTTAAAGAAGAAAAGTTCCTAAATTTACAATGAAAATGTAATTTTTATGTAAAATTATTTTTATTTTAAAAAAGGTCGTATTTGTGAAAAACGTTTGAAAAGTCTAGGTATAATGTAAATCGGTTTTGCTATGGAGCCATTGGATGACTCGACTTATGGAGTCATCTATAGTTATTCATAAATGATGTATTGACACGTGTAATCAATGGTTTTAAAATCTGGACTTGAGTATATATAAGATATCATAATATATCATACTGTTGGGCTATGATTGGTTTGGTTAACTGAGCACTTATATTTAAATCGGACCGAAACCGAAAATTTTAAAAAATTACTTCGATTTATGTCCAAATCAAATTTTGAATTTTAGTCAATTTTAGCCCTCAACCAAAGCTCTTAGACAAAATACAAGAAGCAAGTATGACACAAAAGAAAACAAGTTGAACTAAAAAATGTCAAATAAATTCACATTCATGATACAATTTCCCCCCAACCTCAAGCAAACCAAATTGTAGCCTATGAATATCAAGGAACTAAGTCAAATATTCAATTGAAGCCTTTGAAAATCAAGTCAAACATTGAATTGAAGCCTCTGAAAATCACAGAAAATGATTAAAAAAATCGGGCCCTTTTTTTGCCTACCTCACGCATTGCATATTCTCCTCTCACGAGCTGGATTAATGCTGAAGAAAAAATAATAAAAAAATAAAAACAAAAATGCCATATTCAAATTCTTCAGAGATCATCACAGCTGGTGCCACCACGCGCGGCGAGGATGAAGAAGCCGACCGGGTCCCCGGCCTCGAGTTTCGAATCCCTAGCGACAACTCGATCAGCTCCATGCGGCTGAGCGTGTCCTCGCCCAGACGCTCGTTCGCGTCCTCCACGGCCCTCTCCTCGCCGGCGTCCAGCGGGTACTTGACCGGCGCGTCGTTCGATCCGAGGAAGATGCGGGTATCGAAGAGGAGCAGCTCGTGGCACCGGAGGAGGCTGGTGGTCGGGCTGGCGGTTTTGCTGGGGTTCTTGTTCGCCATGAATTGGTGGATGCTTTCCCGGATCCAGGAGCCGGGTCGGAGGCGTGGGGGTTTCAAGGTGAAGATATTGAGGGCGAACAAGACTACTGTGTTCATCAAGGTACGCTGCTGATGTATGTTTTCGAGGATTTTTTTGTGTAGATTTCTTGTGAGGTGGATTGTTAGATGCATTTGGAGTTGGAGGAGGTAGTTGATAGAGTTGGTGATTGATCCAGTGCAATCCTTTTGATGAAGTATCACTGGCCTGTTGACATGAATAAGCTAAGTTGTTAAACCATTGGTTCTTCAGATCAAATGCCAAGTTTTGTTTGCTGGGGGTGTAAGTAAGCTGCCAAGATATTTGTAATTGGGTTCAATTGTTTTTTTTTATGGGCAATAAACATGAAAATTGAAACTATCTTGTATCGTTTAATAATAACTATTTAGAGATATGATTATGATGTAGGTGAGTGGAATGTAAAGGATGTCATTGCAGTTATAATTGTTCATGCATTGAAGTTTGGGTTTTGTCAATATTAACATAAAGCCTATGGTTTTCTCCACTTGAATTTAAGGTCCAGTTGTCGTGAAAGCACTTGAGTGTCAGTTATCAAGACTACTGATTTGACAGATTACAGATGGATTATTATACTTGACTGCATTATTTTTATTTGTTTCCTGGGCTGGTGGTGTTCAATTATTTCCTTCTTCTAGTTCACACTTTTGTGCCTTTAGAATGGACATTCTGCATTTTGCATCAATACAATGAGCAATGCACTTTTTCATTGGCCAAAAAGGTTGTTGATGAGAATAGTTGGTAGTCTCAAGGCGGTAAGGAAGCATGAACCAGCTTTTATTTACCGTATTGTAAGATCTTATATGCTCAGGAGTCACTATCGCAATTTCTTTGTGGATGCAGGAAGAACTTCAAAAACTTGGAAGAGGGAAAAAACCTCAGAAAACTATATACGCAAGGCTTTTGGCCAAGGCTGCTCATGCATTAGCTGATGTATGCAATCTGAATTTGGTGGTTGTGTTGCTCTTTTGCCTATCTATACTGACATTTTTATAATTCAGGGAGAGAGCAAACCTGAGCCTAAGGAGTTGTGGTTGGAACCTTATGCCCGTGCTTCTTCTTGGACCCCTTGTGCTAATAAACGCAGTTGGCAACCTAGTGGTCGCTCTCTCTTTCTTGCTCTGTCCCTCCCTCTGTGTGTGTGTGTGTGTGTTGCGTGCGTGTTTGTCTTGTCTTATGAAGGCTAATTCTTTCTTATCACTATCAGAGGGTAAGACTGGTTATATAATGGTCACAGCAAATGGTGGGATAAATCAGCAGCGAGTTGCTGTAAGTATTGTATTTTTAATTTCTGGTGAATTAGTTTGACCTGTTATATCTGATCCATTAATTTGTGTTTGTTAATGTCAGTTTCAAATGTTTTTTCTGTTCCTTTTAGGTCTGCAATGCTGTTGCCGTTGCCAGATTACTTAATGCGACCCTTGTTCTTCCCAAATTTATGTACAGCAGTGTCTGGAGAGATGCTAGGTTGAATACTTTATAGTATTTCTAGTGTTATTTTTTCTATATGTTCTTTGAAATCCATACCACAATGGTATTAAGTTTTTCCTTGCATGCATTTGTTACCATTTTTTCCTGCCATTATGTTATATCCTGTGCTGCATTGTGAAATTTCTTTTCTCCTTTTCTTTTTCATTTGCTTCTATAACTTCCATGCAGATGCCTTTGGATGCACTTCGTTAGTTTGTTCATTCACCTATATCATTACATCTTTTCCATGTGAAATGCGAATATAGATTTGAAAATGTAATGCACTATGCATTCAACTCTTTTGATCAATAGTTAATTTTATGCCATTCAACTCATTTGATCAATAGTTAATTTTATGATAAATGATGGAAATATTTGTTTCAAACTCAAAGAAAGAAGCCTCAAACAGACAGCTTGGAAACATTATGAAGCAGTAACCATGATATATTACATGAAGATGGTAAACAATGGTTAGCAAAGGCCAAAGTTTCCTTCATAAAGCCCATTTTATAAGTACTCTTAAGAAATTATAAAATAGCATGTCCTTATCGTTTGCTTATTGTATTTCTAATCAAGCATCTTCCATTCTTTTTTTTTTTTTTTTTTTTAAGTATCTTCCATTCTTATACTTTTTGTGCTTTCTATCATACTAGTTACAGGTTTGCCAACATTAATCACTAACTTTGTCTCTTTAACATAAAGCATGCATTACCCTGTTGGCATAGGAAATTGATGGTTAAATTCTGCATTTTCTTAGTCAGTTCGGCGATATTTATCAGGAGGATCATTTCATCAACTACTTGAAGCCTGATATACCAATTGTCAAGAATCTTCCTAAGGAGTTACAGTCCTTAGATTTGGAGGCAATTGGTAGTCTGGTGAGATTCATAGCTATTTACATTCGATGCTAAATGCAAGCATAGAATCTGTTTTGTCTCTTGTTTTAACTGTTTTTTATATTATTCTTTGGTCTCAGGTTATGGACACAGATATTATGAAAGAGGCTAAACCAAGCTTTTACTTGAAATACATTCTTCCGTTATTACACCTCAACAGAGTCGTTCATTTTGTTGGATTTGGGAACAGATTAGCATCTGATCCTATACCACATCCCTTGCAGGTATCTTTAAGCATTTGGCGCATTAGTTAATGCCAGCTATGAGCTTGTCTTGAATTTATTTAACCCCCTCACCTTTTGAATGTTCTTTTTTATTTTTTATCTCTTACTCCACTTTGCCTCCTAATTAAAGAACTTCATCTAGAGGCTTCGGTGCAGATGCAATTTTCACGCCCTAAGATTTACCCCTAAAATACAAGAAGCTGGTGCGATGCTTATTCGGAGGATGCGTCAAAATGAAAAAGGTTTGGGACGTCTCGACCCTTATCTTGTGGGCCCATTTGCGCACTCAATAATGAAGAGGCAAAAAGGTCGTGCAGCTAAAACATCCAAGTACCTGGCCTTACATCTGAGATTTGAAATTGACATGGTGGCTCATTCATTGTGTGAATTTGGTGGAGGTGAGGAAGAAATGAGAGAATTGGAGGCATATCGACAAATTCACTTTCCTGCATTGGTGGAACTAAAGAAAACTAAAAAGTATGTTATTCCCCTTTTTGGAGTAATTTTTGTAATGAATGGAAGTTAGTGACATCTTGCCTACTTCTTTTATATATCTTGGTTTGAGCTAAAGGAAGACCTTTGTGTTTTGGGGGTAAAATGCTATTTATTCGTCAAAATGCATTTTGCTTGAGATTTTTTGAATTAATTTTTTTTCTCTTTTGTTTTCTACTATTTCCTGTGACTGGAGGACTTCTTCTCCATCACTAAACTTGCATAGAGATTTTTTAAATTTGACATAACGGTGATTTGATAATGTGTTTACATAAATGTAATGATGCGATATCAGTTCTTCCGAAGGTGTTTTAGCGAGTTAGTGTTGTGCAGGTTCCCTTCCCCAACAGAACTAAGATCTGAAGGTCTATGTCCATTGATGCCAGAGGAGACAGTTCTTATGCTTGCTGCCCTTGGGTTCAACCGGCGGACCCACATATATTTAGCCGGTGCACAAATTTATGGAGGGAGTTCGAGATTGGCAGCACTAACAACCCTGTTTCCAAATATGGTCACCAAAGAAAACTTGCTTTCTGCAGATGAAATGCAGCCATTTGCAAATTACTCATCTCAGGTGAACTATGCTCTTTATCTCATTCTACATATGTAATCTTGTTTGAGATCATCACTTAGCTCTTTTTACCTCTACGGTCTTACCTGTGGTGACATCTCTGCTAATCTGGGTACAAAATTCTTTCCACGGTATATAAGATAATTCAAGGATAAGCATTTTTTTTTTTTAACTCGAAATTTTTTGCAGTTAGCCGCGCTTGATTTCATTGTATGCTCGGCTGCCGATGTATTTGCCATGACGGATTCCGGAAGTCAATTTTCTTCTTTAGTAGCTGGTTATCGAATTTATTATGGTGGGGGAAAAATGCCTACGATACGGCCGAACAAACGCCGGCTTGCCGACATTTTCGTGAAAAACAACACCATCGAGTGGAAGGTGTTTGAGACGAGAGTGAGGAAAGCAGTGAGACAAAACAAACGAGTATTTTCACGGCCTTTGGGAAGGAGTGTATATAGATATCCACGGTGTCGGGATTGCATGTGCCATGCTGAATGAGTTTTTTCCTGTTGATATCTGTGCGATATATCTTTACAACAGTTTTGGTTCTGTGGCCTTGTACGAAAATTCATTACATTTATTTTCCCTCTGATTATGTGAAAATCATTTACTGGTCTGGTTCATTCCTCCACTTGTGTTGTATTAATATGCTTTCAATTTATGCACATTGAGTTACCACCCTCTTGTTCTTAGGTTGAGTTGGGAGTGGCTAAAATCATGTTTGCAATTTGGTGCATGAGATTTTAATTGCAGGTTTAAAACTCTTAATTATGGATCAGAATTTACATATAAAAAACTGTTATCTACCATTATCAATTGTAAAATGTTTCTACATATTGCAATGTTTATTTTATATCCTTGAATCTGGCTTTCTTGATTTGCCTCATTCTACATCCTACCATCATTTGACCCAACCGAGGTGAATCATGATGGTGAAGACAAATTCACCATCCAACTCAAGCAGAAACGGTCACAAGTTCCTCCAGTTGCACTTCTGATGTTCTGTGGATCAGTTGCGCATGAAATTGAGGTAATCTTCATATCCTGCTTCTAGAATCATTTATTTATGAGTAATTGTACCAAGTGTAATCAGACCACTTAAAGTGATCTCCGTACAGGAACGTGATAAGCCACGAAAAGATACTCTAAGCATAGGTTGTTCATTTTTTTTTCTCTTGTTTTGCTTTTTCTAAATTTTAAGATTACTGGATACAAAGTAGAAGGGTATATTTGTTTATCCCTACAGGAAAATTACAGGTAGAAACAGACAAGTCCTAGGTCCAAGGCTGAAGCAATTTTTGAGGGAGAACAAGTTTGTTTTGCTTGATTATTGCAGCTATGCCTGCAATATAAGAGGTTTCCATGCTGGATTCAGATATCAGCGCACAGCTGCAAACCATGTGGATACTCAGGTAGATGATAGTTAACAAAAGTTTTAGTCACTAAATATACTATTAAGGTGATCTATTTGCCTAACAGTCAGCCATTTTTTTTAGAAATCTTGGACAGGTCTTGATCTTTTTAACCAATATACCAATTCCACCTGCTGTGGGTACTCGTAGTTGTTATACAAATCTGAAGGAGCTTGTTGTAATTTTGAAAGATGAGATCCCCGGGCTGGATCTCTCTCTCTCTCTCTCTCTCTCTCATCCATCCATCCATGACCTATAGCAATCTTATACTTTTCAGATGCTTAAGCTTTCTTGTTTACTGTAACTCTTGCGAAAACTACTTCAGGTTTAGCATAGTTATAGATCAACCCATTATCTTGAAAAATTACAAAAAGGCCTTGAGATTTGTGTTAGTTTTACAAATGACCCCATATAGAGGACTTTGTAATTTGGAAAGATAATCGTGTATATCTTTAGTTTAAGTTAAACTTCAAGGGCAGTTTTTGTAATTTATTATATTAGTTAAGCGTATACCTTTCCGTCAATAGTTTGTGGGACTAGTATTCTGGAATCATAGTGTGGTTGGTAAGTACCATAAGCTTGTTTATAGCTTATTTGATTAGCTTATAAGCTTTCTGTATAGAAATAAACTTGGTTTGGTAGTGCGAACTTATAAGGACCATAAGTTTTTGGGTAACTTTTCAAATAATCCAATTTGAATTTTGTTTTTTTGGGCTGGCTTATTAGCTAATTTTACCAAACATTTTTATCATATCAACTAGTTTTTCAGCCATAAGCTATCAGCTATAAGCTCGAAATTCACTTATAAGCTATCAACTGACTTATCAGCTATTAGTCAGCTATCAGCTCAAGAATGTGACTGTGTCCTCTGGGTGGTGCATGGGCCCTATGGAGAGCTTCAAGATATCCACTCTGTACAGTACAACCTGCAAACAAGTTGTAAGACACGAATTGCATGTTATTTAGATATGTCACAAGTCTTTGCTTTCTATTTTTCCTTTTTGGTTTTTTTTGGCCTTTCGGTTCTCTCATTTTGATAGTTTCGGGTGTGATGCATGATGAAAATTGGAGGGAAATGATGGTAATGCAGACTGTCTTGTTATTGTTATATATCCTTCTATCTATACTGTTACTTGTATGCTTTGATCAGTATGTGAAATTAGTTCTGCAACTTAATTTTGATGAAATGAAGCACAATTCAAAAGTAAAGATAGGCATTTTGCAAACACTTGAGCGTAATTTTATTTTTTTTTTATTTATTTTGTGGTGTTGCGAGGACTCATTGCTTAGCTTGATCTTCATTGGGCCACTTAGGGTTATATATGCGTTTTAAGCAGGGGCGGACCTAGGCGGGGGCCCGTAGGGGCACAGGCCCCTGTGCAAATTTTTAAAAAGATTAGTACATATATAATTTTATTGTAAAATGATTATAAAGAAATCTTCTTAAAATTTGAGTTATTTCATTATGTATTTGTATTATGTTGTAAGCAATATATATAAATGAGTTACATCGATTTTCTACAAAAATCAACATTGATCTTGATACATATTTAATTTTAAGTGCTCTTAAATTATAAAATATGTTTAAAATTAGCTATTAAATTGAGTTTGTCATTGATTTTTTAACTAGTAAAATATTTATTTTTATTATAAAGGAGTCTACGAATGCTGACGTTGTAAGAATATCCAGTGCAAAAAAAAAATGTTGGTATTTGAAAAATATATATTTAATGAGATTTGAATTTATGTAATTATGAGTCATATAATATATAAGAATATGCAGAGAATATATATCATTTTTATTTTTTATTTTTTTTTGCACTTTGTAAATGTACATTTGTGCCCCTCAGTCTTACGAGTCTGCGTCCAGTAAAAAAGTTTCTGATTGGCTTTTTCTCCAATAGCTACTGAAGCATGAATTTTTGTTCAATTGGCGGGCCCATTCCATGTAAAAAAAATTTTAATTTTTATTCTTCCCTCGACATAACAATGCCATCTCCTCCCTTCTAATTGACGCGCCCGTGGATTACAACACAGACTGACCGACAGCAGCCGAAACCAGCAGTCAAATTGTCAAATCTAATGAGAGAACATCTCAACTAGAATCTCAACTCCTACAAACTCACCCACAATAATAAAAATATTAGTCTCCCACAAATGAAGAATGAACTCCCAAAAGGAGAATAGAACTCAAAAAATACAATACAGAAAAGACGCACAACACAAGAACACTACACCCAAACGACACCTGATACTAGATTAAACTAATGTCCTTGAACAACACCGCACCTTTACCACTCAAACCAAAACCCGTGAATAACACCCAACGAGAAAGGGTACAATTTGCGGCTCATATGGCAACGAAAAAGCCCAAAATCGGCTTAAATCGTTATGAATCGTCGAACTAACACTCACCTTAAAGGTAACTCAACCAGGACTACACCAGGAGCCAGCGCCTCCCACCCAGCAATCCAGCAAGCACGGCCACAACTGCCTCCGTCGGAGAACCCACCCTCCGAAGGAGAAGCAGGTAAAAGGGAGCAAAGATCACCCTCGACCCTGACCCCTCCACTGCAACACGACAGAGACGCCCACCGCTGCACAAACTCCGACACACCACCCACGCTCCACTAGAACTGCCATGGCCATCCACGAAGGAAGAGGTGTCAGGCCGGCCGAGAAGAGTGAAGGCACGCCGAAAAGATGCCGCGACCCTGTCTTATCGGGAAGATGCGTCGCCTCAGGCAAGGAAGCCCGCTGCACGAGTTTTTGAGCAGTTTTTTTGGTTCAGGAGAGAGGAACTTCTTGCAGATGAATACAAACTTGCCACTCTTATCAGTTTGCTTTCTAAAATATATTTGCTTTTTTTTAAAAAAATAATAATAATAATAATAATTGCAATATAAGCAAAAGGATAATATATTTTCTTCTAAAATATATTTACAATATAAGCAAACACATAAAGTTTTATAGAATAAGTATGCAAGTTTTGTAAACATACCTAAAAACAGTCATTTGGGGGAGGGGAAGAGAGATGGTTCAATCTGAACAATTATAAAACTAAAAAACTTCACATGTTATCTTAACTTAGATAAATTTCAAACAGGGGGTAATGAATCTCTACAGTATCTCCTTAGCGCATTCAGTAGTACATCTTCAACAAATAACCTTGTCTTACAGAACAAAGTTCACATTCATAAAATCCCACCAGTCATACAAGAAGTACATATATATTATTTGAGCTCAGAGCTTCTGAATAACCACCGAATTCAACAACCCCGCCTGCTCGACCGTCTGCGTGAGATCGGACAGGATTTTGGGGGGAAACCCAACCGCCTGCAGTTGGTAGGGCCTGGGCCCACCGGGCCTTGAGGCATCAATAAATGAGTGGATATCGGCTATCGTGTGGTGGTGGTTCAATTGAACAACCATGCGGGTCCCATCGACCAGCCTGAGCTGGACGGAAGTCGAGGGCTTTGATTTATCCACCACGAGGCCCATTGAAGGGGATGATGATGGTGCACTTGCTACAGGGCCTTCTGTGGGTCCCACATCAGTTGCCGAGCTGCTACTGCTGCTGCTTCCCAGAGTCCTGCCAACACCTTGAAATGGGACACGTCTTATTGCCGGTTCCTGGGGAAGATAAATTAAAAAAAAAATCAGTTTTTCTTTTTTTTCAGACACACCCAACCATACATTTAGTATATCTTAGGCTATGCTCAAATCATTTCTACTTCTTTCACCATTCTTCTCAAAGATAATTCGGACTCAATATATTTCAGAGGAAAACAAGGGATTAGCAATCATGTTAGAAGTTCTTTATTTCCTTTTATTTTATGTATATTATGATTTCTGTTTAAATTATATTAGTGAGTTCTACGTACTGGATTAAATAAATACATATTAGGGTTATGTTTAATTACTCATATTAAGAAGGGTACTGTCATCAACTACGCTTATATCTTGTTTTTTTTTTTTTTACTTTTCTTCTTATTAAGTGAGGATCTAACAATAGAGCTCCAATCTGAATAAAAGAAAGAGTACAAAATCAAGAACTTAGCATCCCAAGGTCTAGAAAATTACATGCACATACACAGCAGTTCACCTTAAGAGTTAAATAGAGATTAACACAGAAGGCTTGTACCCTAAACAAGTTCATTAGAGGTCAATCATGGTTCCAAGGAATTTATGAACTGACCAATAATCGTTGATCAATTGAAGGTAGAAACTTATTATTGTTGTCAACAGTATAAAAATATAATAACCATTAGGATCTAATATCAGTCAACAAACAAGCATACTAACAACTTCAAATCTAAATTCATTTGCTAAATTTACTTTCTTTTTGCCTATACTTCTGGTTATGGGGTAAAATATAACACACACACAACAATACATGCACACACACACACACACACACACAACACGTGAGGATTTTGACTTGATCTGCAACAACTGAGAGCATGTTTGTTTATGAAAAATTTTGGGTTTGTTTGGATTTTTTTGTTTGGTTTGGTTAATTTTGGAAAAGTGGTATGGTTAGTTGTTAGTGGGTATATTAAAATAATATTTAATATAAAATAATTAAAATTGATTTGATATAAAATTAGGAGAGAGATGATTGAAGTGATAGTTAGTTAAAATAATGTGAGTGGATGAATAGTAAATTAAGGTTGATGTGGTGTGTATGAATGATTGATTGATATTATTTAATTATATTGATAATATTGATGATAGTGAGGTTGAGTTAAA